CCGGCCCAAGTGGGGCCCATGTGGGGTGCCGCCCCAACCAGGTGGAGCGCGAATCAAGCCGTTTACTGATTTTCAGGGTGGTGGATATCTTAGTTAATCTAATCTAGCAAGATAATTTAGCCGACAGCATAAACCCTAAAACGAATCTCTGCCGATATGATCAAATTAAGATGCTAAGCTAGATTAACTAAGATATATGATAAACAACGGTTGTAGAAGATAGATTAGAACATCTAAAGCGGCACCCTAATCCGCCAACGCAAACTGCTGAGACAAGTCATACCTTCTGTCAGAAGATCGAAGCCGATGCCCTAACTCCAAGCAAGAGCTTGTCGAAAAAGTAAGAAGGTAAAAAGTGGCGATGCACCAAAGCTGTACTGATCGAGAGATAAGATTACAATGAACCCTGAGTGTACATAATACCCATGGGTAGATACTAGTCCTTATTGGACAAGAAACAAACTTTCCTAAAGATAAAAGGAAAAACACAAGTCTTAATCAGACATTAAACACACTTTCCTAAAAACTAAAGGAAACTAACAAATACTTCCTAATTTAATAGATAAACTATCATACCTTATCTTCCTTAAACTCGGACTCTTCTGGATAAGCTTCCTTTAATTGATTGATTTCCTTAACCGAATCCATCAAGAATACAACTGCTAGCGACAGATAATTTCTATCGGCTGATTCTGAAGCCGATACTGACTCTAGACCGATGATAATTCCAGGGCATACCAAATTTTGGCGTTAACAAGTTTACATCTTTTCGGATTTAGAACCTCATGTAGATGTGGATAAAACATGCAATTTAGAGAGACTTGTTATTGCAAATCATTATCTCGAGTTTCTCTAGTTTTGATTTGAAGAAACATGTTGCTTTAAATGAACTATGCGAAGAGCACCATATGGAAAAACCGAGAATGGTTTTCCGTGAAGAAGGGGAGGATGGGTGTGACCATGAAAACTATGGATACAACTGTTGCTCACATCATGGATCAACAAGAAGACATCAAGATGGCCTCCAAGTGTTGGAACCCAATTCGACCACCTGCTACATTGCCGACTTCAAATGGCCGCCAAAGATCCATACGAGCTTCATTTTAGGTCCATGAGTACTTGATGGAAAGATTTTAGTGTCACCTTTCTAATGGATCTAGTCTTGTCGCCAAATTCCATCTCTATCGGCCACAATTGAAGAAACAAGGTATTGCGTCACCTGTAATAGGCCTATGGGCTTGTAACTTCGTCTGGGACCCCGGCCCATGTGGGGTGTGCCCCAACCAGGTGGAGCACGACTTTAGGGACCCCTAGGTCGTCCTCCCACATTGTTAAATAGCTAGGTACCCATTCAGGGTTTCTTGGGTTTTGTTTAGATTAAAGTTTAGCCATTGCTACTTGCTTGCAGTGCGTGTCTCGACTAGACCGTCCAAATCTGCTTGTCTTTGGAACCCCAATTTATCGCGTGTATTCAATTCCTATTTGCATTATCAAATTGTTTTTATCTAGTTCGTACTTGTTTCTTTGATTTGTTTGCAGGAATAAGTTTGATCTACACAGACAAGATCAACAACCCATAGAGAGGTGTATCAATCGCTAAGGTGCAACACAACGTCTTGTACGGTTGTAGTCGGGTCGTCAACGTTTCTCCCAAAACGTAGATATCGAGTGTCGAGTGGAACATCCGTGAGAGTCGAGTGGAACTCACGGTTTATCAAGTGATGTGACCATGGCTACTATAAATACAACCGTTGTTCACATCATGGATCAACAAGAATACATCAAGATCATGTCCTTCAAGTGCTGTAATCCGATTCGGCCACATGCTACATTGCCGACTTCAAATGGCCGCCAAATATGCATACAAGCTCTGTTTTGGGTCCATGAGTACTTGATGGAAAGCTCTCAGATTCCTCTTTCCAATAGATCCAGTCTCATTGCCAAATTCCATCTCAGTCGGCCGCAATTGAAGAAACAAGGTGTTGCATCACCTGTAATGGGCATGTGGGCTTGTAACTTCGTCTTGGACCCCGTCCCAAGTGGGGCCCATGTGGTAGCTCAGCTACCATCTTAAATTCCTGCTAATTCTTGAAACTTGTACATGCTAACAAAATGTATATCCATAAACATTGGAGACGGCCACACAAGAATGACAATATCCAGTTTATTGCAACCCTACAACCATTACCTTACTCCTATCACCTAGCTCATTTGTAGTTTGAATTTAATTTGAGTCGGTAACTCCCCCTGTATCAGTTTCTTGCAACCCTACCACCATTTGGAGTAATCAGTTTAATTTCAGTCGGTAACTCCCTCTGTATCAGTTTCTTGCAACCCTACCACCAGTACCTTACTACTATAACCTAGCTCATTTGTAGATTTGGAGTAATCAGTTTAATTTCAATCATAAACAAATTATATCTGCTCACCCTAGAGGACTTCTATATGGAGTGATCTATCAGACCAAATTACTTTTGACTCGATACTATCTGATTAATGCTTTGCATGTTGTTTTATAAATCTTGATTCTCATTTTGGCATGTTTTCGAAGTGTATTTTGGTTTACTCTAGCTATAGATATGCCTGTAAAGAGATCATTTAATTATCTATAGATATGCCCGTAAAGAGATCATTTAATTACCACGTTATTTGATGATTGCTTGAATCCCTTCAACTGGTTTGTCAGTGATGCGTGGTTTATATACTATACATCCTACGACTTGTAAGATATACTCAATTGATATATAACATTTTCATATTTACAACATGAAATCGTAATTATGAATTTGATGAATCTCAGGTTTGTTTATATTTTATTAGCTAGGTATGGATTCAAATACTTCAGCTAATGAAGGGCGTATTGCCTTCAGTGATCTAACTAATGTTTCTTCAGGTGTTGTAACATGTATAATATTTTGTAATTTATGACTGACTTTATGTACATATATGAACCACATCTTTTGTTATTTTCATTTTGCAATAAAACTACAACAGCTCAAAAACAGCTCAAAACACACCTTCTAAAACTATTGAACGTAAAAGGGGAGAAATTGCTAGAAAGCATATAGATCAACATGAAAAGAAGGTTGAGTATGATACATGTGTCAACCCTTTTGTGTTTACCACACATAACCAAGTGACAAAAACCGAGATGCTAGACAAACAAAAGGAAGAATTTGTGTTTACCACACCTAATCAAGTGACACAAACCAAGATGTTAGACAAACAAAAGGAAAAAGAAAAGAACAAAAAGTTGCGTGAATGGCGTGCAAGGAGCACACAGATGGCTGAGTCAAAATTTGGTGAAGATATTGTGACAAATGATGCTATAATGCAGAATTAACATGCACGATTTGTGCGGGGACCAAATGCGCGCACGATAATATATACCTACATGTCTCAAAATACATTATACTTATACATAAAACAAAATTAAATTGGACTGCCCATATAAATACAAATAAAAAATATCCTAAAATATACTAATTATTAAACGCACGTATACAAAAGGGTAACATGATCCCAAAATAAACTATTTTATCACACCACGCAAAAAAAAATAGTCATGTGACATTAATCACATTGTAGTGCTTTATAATGGGTGGCTTCAGTATGAATACAAACAAATTCTAAAATAAACTATTTATCAAATCATGGTAAAAAATAAAAGAGATACATGAAACTATCTAAAATAAAATATTTTATCACAAGCCCACAAAAAATACCTGTACATGACATGAATCATAATTCAGATTTCTGCACATAAAAATTCCATCTGAGCTCTGCATATATCCTTTCATTTATATATTCATTCATGCCACATCATCTTCAGTTTGAAAAATATGTTTTGTTAGACAAAAAGAGTTGTACCGTAGCATTTAGCACGGGCATATTACTAGTCTAGATTTGGATTGAGGGCTTTTAAAAGAAATTGCTCTCTTATTTGGTAGGCAAAATCCTACAGATATGAATGTTCATTTATTTCATATGCAGTGCTTCCTGAATCGTTTGTATAATTGTATTTCCATATAGCTAGACCCTTTTGTCTCAATTATTTGTTTCTTTTCATGTGTGAACATTCTTTAATACTCTATTCTTCTCTAGATGTTTGACGCCGTTGACTTTTTTAAACATGTTTAATCATTCGTCTTATTCAAAAAATTTTATGAAATATGTAAAACTATATGTATACATAAAAGTATATTTAACAATAAATAAAATAATAGTAAAAGAATTAATAATTACTTAATTTTTTAATAAGACGAACGGTTTAACATATTTAAAAAAGTCAACGGCGTCAAACATTTAGGGATGGAGGGAGTAGTAATGTTTTAGGAAAACCTATTCGGTTAATGCCTTTGTCGTGATCAATTGACCTTTTGTGCTTCATTATAGATATGATCAGGTGCCCTCAATAATGCCATCAGTGTACTTACTGCTAAACGTGCCAAATATATATGTTCCCCTTTTGCTTGCTGACAACCATTGAAACACTACCATAAACACATGGGTTACTATAACGTTTGATCTGCTTTACATGCTCTCACGTTTACTCATATAAGTTCTAATTTTACATTGTCCAAAACAAACGGTAGGGCGCCGCCAAGCGCGCCAAAAGTTCTAATTCATAAATGTAAGCCGCGCAGACTGGGCGGGCGTTGGGGCGTCCCGGTGTAGAATTTTGCAAAAAAGCCCTCCGCTTCGCGCGTAATTCGTCCGCGGTCCCCGGTGCACAGTACCCCTGATAGGAACACTGCGAGAGGTGGAAATTTTTCGAAAAGACCCTCCGGTTTGCGTGTAATTCGGTATAAGTCCCTAATAAACAGTACCCCATGGGGTGTTATTTTTTATTTAGGCCCTTCTAAAGACAGGATATTCCATACGAAGGAGGGAAAAATCGGCAATTAGGACCGAGCCGTGAAACTTTAAAGGTGAGGGGCTTTTTCGCAAAACTACGCGCACTAATGCCACTAACCCACCTCAATCCCCAGCCCTAGCCACCACCGCCGGTCTCTCCTCCCTCTCGTCCCACGCTCTCGACCCCCGCCACCGCCTCCCCCTCGCACCGCCGCCGTCGTGTCCCCGTCCCCGTCGAGTCGCCGTGTCCGACGCCTTCGCCTCCCTCTCCCGCCGCCGGTCCGCCGTTCGCTGCCGTCGCCGTCTCCATCTTATCTCCGCGTCCGCCTCGCGCCACCGCCGCCTCCGCCGTTACCGACCGCCTCCATTGCCGTCACCGAGCGCACAACCTCCACCGTCACCGAGCCGCCGCTGCCACCGTCGCTGTCGACCACTCTCTCCGGCTGCCGGCTGCCGGCTGCCGGCGTCCGGATCCGTCGGGGGGCTGTCAGATCCGTGTCCCCTGACCACATGGAAGGGTCGCTCTCGGGTGGAGCAGATCAACGCTGGGCACGAAGGTGCGAGCGCGGATGGAGCAGTTCGAGCAGCCGCCGCCATCCTCCTCGTCCCTCGAAGCCACAGGTAATAGACGAGACAAGCCGCTCTTCCAGGTTTGTCATCCGCGCCACCTCTCAACCTACTAATCCCCATCGTTTCCTACTTCTTCTCCTGCTCAAAACGTCCTTTACCGCGATGTGAAAATCCTGCAGGCCAACAAGGAGAAGAAGGGTGCTATTCAACGAGTGGTTCAAGCACAGTGAGTTCCCCTCCCGCTCTTATATTGTAAATTTGCAAAACGGGAAACAATAAGGCTAATGTTTGAACAATTCAATGAAAGTGTGATCTTGCCGGTAGAAAAACAACATTTCTTTCATGAGAATTCGGAGCAGACCTATGTTAAGTCCAGGATTTTCATTGTGAATAGTTCAACTTCTATAGCAATTGGGAAAAATCCCATGTTCCTGAGTCCTGACAGGGCCTAAGTGAGCACGAAGTCCACCAAATTATAGCACATTACTGCATTTAAAGTTTTAAACCTTTTTCTTTACCCTTTCTATAATGAGAAGCAGTTCCAGCGCCTTCGCTAACGATGATCCCGAAAAAGAAGAAATGGCCAATAGATATACCTTCAGCTATGTGCTGTTAGCATTATTTTTAGCATATAATTCAATTAACATATTAGGAAATTTTGCACTATATATCTAACACAAGTGAATTAGCATATTATTGGTATTAAACAATTAGAAAGGATAAAATGTACCTCTGGTTTCTCTTATTCTGATTTAATGCATGCTTGATCTCTAACGTTGGACTTTAAGACATTGGTACTCATGTTTGATCTCTCCCATTTCTATTTGGAAATGTTTCCAGTTACCATAAGGGCACATCCTCACATTTACACACTGACAAAACTGGCTTCATTTCTTTTATATTTACTGAACTGCTCTGAGTTTGATTTACAAAATAATGCCCAACAGCCAGCTTGCACAAGACGATGATGTTTCTTACATGTCAAACATTCTGGTTTCTTACCTTATCTGAGCTATTCAGCCAACAAGGAGTTACCTCGATGGCCTGATGTTCTCCATAAGATATTTGTGGAGGCTGTGGCCTATCATGGAGGTCCCTATGGTTTGGCTTCTCGGCCTTAAAAATCATGCTTTGGATCTCAAAATACTCATTGACGAAACCAGGGGCGGTACCACCCATTAGGCGGGGTTGGGCGGCCGGCCCAGCTACGGCCCGCGCCGCCCCAACCCTCCATATCTTTCTTGGGCCGCCTACCACTACATCCAATTCACAATTAGCCCATAAATAAGCAGCCCAACTGTCCAATTTTAATCCTGCGTATGTGATGCTTTCCTGAGTCAATTTCTCGACACTGCTCACCCCCGTCCCCTACTATAGTTAGGTGCCTAATGTTTTTCTCTCTCTCCCTTCTAAGCAAAATAATAATTATCTTATTCTGGGTATGCGATATCTTCTCATATATTTATTTTTTAAAAGATATCTATCAACTATGCTTTATAAATTGACTCATATTTGCAAATTGATATGTTTACTAGTATCTTTTTATGTATGATGAATATGACGCAAAAATTATTACTGTATTTTAATATCATTTTTTTTTGTTTGTCTTAATTTATTGATTATACTATATGTTTATATAACATATAATTACAACATAAATATGGTATTTTTTGCGTTTAGTTGTTCTTATTGAGACGAGCATCTTGGCCCCATCTTTATTTTAATCCTGCGTCCACCACTGGACGAAACTGATGCTATGTTATTGCTAAAAAAAACTGATGCCGTGTTATACGATTGTTGCAACCTGCAGAAGCTAAACCAGCTGCAGTGAAGGAGACAATGCAAGCTATGGGTGTCAGTTGTCACAGGCCTTATGACCCACAACATCAAGAGTCACCTCTAGGTACCTCCTGCCATGTTGCAAGCTTTTTATCAGGTATTTTGATAATTCTCTCTCTTTTGATCCATGGATGAGAATGGTATTGTTCGCTCGCAGTGACAAAGCTCTGTCTATAATCTTTGCCTCCTTATGAACTGTATAGGAGTTGATCAGTGACTACTTTCTTAATGGGCATGATTCTTTACACTATGAAAGCATGAAGTGACTATTTTGGCATTGGAGGTATGCAACTAATCTTGGCATTTTGCTTTTTCCCCATAAGATCAGGGCATATCCCTATAAAGCTTTTTATATATATATAATTTTAGCTACATTATTATGCAGCTGCTCTCCTACAATATCTACTCCCTCTGTTTTATATTATAGGTCACTTTGACTTTCTTATATTCAATTTTTTTAAGTTTGACCATGTTTATAAGTAAATAAAGCAATATTTTCAGCACAACAAACATAGTATCAAAATATATTCACTGTTACATTTAATAAAACTAATTTGGTGTTATCGATGTTGCTAAATTTTTCTAATAGTTTGGTCAAACCGAAGAACTTTGGTTAGGAAAAAGAGTCAAAACGATATATAATATGAAACGGAGGGCGTACATAGGTTGGTGATAGTCTATTTCTGGTAGACCCGAAACCCATTGAAGAGTGTGTATCTGAGTAAAGCTGTTCTTTTATCCATAAACAATAAATGGGTTCAATTTTTATCCCAACTTTATTAGCTGCTTCAAATAATTGAGTTTGTTGTAGCTCTTAACTGATGTGTCATTTTAGCATGGGTACATATAGTATTGGGGATCTTACTGAAGTTTAGTTGGTGCCTCAATTATTCTGTAATCTCCACCAACATAGATTTTCTCCAGTTTAGAAGCTCATGAGCCCATGACTGATAATATTTAAGGGCCTTTACTATTTTATGAAGGCTTTTAAACATAAGCATATTGTATACTAGATTTCTGGATTTCGTTATGAGAATTGTGTACTATACACTTTGTTGGCGATATGGCATGAGGCCCTTCGACCAAACCTACCGGAAGCATGCGACCGATGAGGATTCAAGCCCGAGACGTCAGGGTTAGTCAAGGCGAACCCTCCCCATGGCAAATACTATGGAGCAAGGACGGCGAGAGGCAGGGAATCACAGCCAAGCTAGAGGTCTCCTAGGCGAAGGGCGCAAGGCGAAGAGCATATGCCGAAGGGGGACGACTTCGCCGTAGTAGTTTCGGCCCCGGGAGGGCCGAAGAAGCTATCCTGGCCCATCAAGCCTAGGGGTCAATTGGGTCGACAATAACCCGTCAGCCCGCTAAGGGCCCATGGGCCGCAATTACGCTATGTACCCATGTAAATGTCCCTTTCATAAGGACAACCATGTAAATTCCCTTGCATAACCAAAGCCCTAGTAGTAAGACCTGTAATGGGGGCTATAAATAGCCCCATAGGGCCATGTAATTGGGGGATCCCAAGTAAATTTCTCAAATTAATACACTTTACTTCTTTTCCAACCACTGTTGAGTGACCACGTCTTTCGACGTATGTGGTTGTCGTTTCGACAACACACTTCATGGGACCGCAATTACGCTATGTACCCATGTAAATGTCCCTTTCATACGAGCAACCATGTAAATTCTCCTGCATAACCAAAGCCCTAGTAATAAGACCTGTAATAGGGGCTATAAATAGCCCCATAGGGCCATGTAATAGGGGGATCCCAAGTAAAATTCTCAAATTAATACACTTTACTTCTTTTCCAACCAATGTTGAGTGACCACGTCTTTCGACGTATGCGGTTGTCGTTTCGACAACAGCTGGCGCCGACTGTGGGGACCTCCGAGCGAAACCATTGAGAGCGAATGCCACCGAAGAAGGTCGTGAAGGAGAAGGTTACAAGCGAAAGGAAAGCGATGCCGGGGCGGATATGGCCGCCGAGGAGGGAGCAGAGCCTTCGGTGCCCGTCGCCGAAGATGGAGGAGCGCCATATGCTTCCGCACCTGCGCCATCATTACCGCCTTCGGCCCCTGCCACCTCTGTGCAGGTGCCGAACGCGGCTGACATGGCGAAGGCGGCTGTGGCGGCAAGGGCACTCCAGACCAGGGCGGAGATCCTTTCGACAAGCCAACTGCTGGTGCCCCAAGCCGCTCCGTCGCAGCCGGCAGCGGCCCCAACTGCGCTCGCCGCTGTGCAAGCCCAAATCAACCCTGACCCCGAAACACAAACCGAAGCCAACATGGAAGCCATGCGACAGAACATGACACGACTCCAAGACATGCTTCGCCAAATGCAAGAACAGCAGCAAGCATACGAGGCGGCAAGGCGGTCCAAGGTCACTTTGGCCCCAATCCTCTAGTATTCGGCAGGCTATGTCCCACCCCAAGTCTATCCACAAGTGCCGACCCAGCCCCTTCCGCCGCAAGTCGGGCAAGCGCCAATGTACTTCGCCGGGCAGCCATCGACCGTAGCAGCGCATCCGGCCCCTCACGTGCAACTGCAAGCTCAACCGGTCGCTGGCCAAGTACACCCTCAACCGCCTGGCCAAGTGCCACAAACAATGGCAGAAGGGGCTTCGGCTCTGCAGGCGCAGCTCCAACCTTTCCTTCAGCAGCTCAGCCAACCCCACAACATTTCAGGAACAGCCCCTTCGGCTCACCCGGAGGGGAATACAAGTCAAGGTGCGCCTGGTTGGTTGCCGTCGAATCAGCCAGGTCTGGGGGCTTTGCTGTGGAGTCAAGTACCGCAGTTCGACTTCATCAATGCCGCTCAGGCACCAACCGTCCGGCCGCAAGCACCAACGCCAGACTTTGGAGCAAACCAAGCACCAAACCAGGTCGCCATGACATGGTCACAGCCAACTTTCGACCCATCCATGGCGGCTCAGCAAGCATCACCAATCGGAGCCGGGCAGCCGAATGCCATGGCCCAACCTCACGCGCAAGCTATGATTTTGCCCTTCGCCACGCTGTACCCGCAGCAGGGTGTCGTTAACAGGGCAGGGGGCGAAAAGGTGCTACCGCTGCGTAGGGGAATCAAGACCTGTCCAATCCCACCCCAGTTCAAGTTCCCACCCGTCCCACGCTACTCAGGCGAAACTGACCTGAAGTAATTCCTCTCCATTTATGAGTCCTCGATTGAAGCGGCTCATGGCGACGAAAATACCAAGGCAAAGGTAATACATCTCGCTCTAGACGGCATCGCCCGTTCTTGGTATTTCAATTTACCAGCCAATAGCATTTACTCATGGGAGCAATTGCGCGATGTCTTTGTCCTTAACTTTCGAGGCACCTATGAGGAGACGAAGACGCAGCAGCATCTACTCGGCATTCGCCAGAGGCCGGGGGAGTCGATAAGGGAGTACATGCGTCGCTTCTCGCAAGCCCGGTGCCAAGTTCAAGACATAACTGAGGCGTCTGTCATAAACGCCGCTTTGGCCGGTCTACTTGAGGGCGAACTCACAAGAAAAATCGTCAACAGGGAGTCATAGACGCTTGAGCACCTACTTCGCATCATTGACGGGTATGCAAGGGGCGAAGAGGATTCCAAGCGACGGCAAGCAATACAAGCTGAGTATGATAAGGCTTCCGTCGCCGCTACCCAAGCCCAAGCACAAGTTCAAGTTGCCGAACCACCTCCTCTCGCTGTTCGCCAGCCCCAGCTGGCGATCCAAGGACAACCGCTAAGGCAAGGTCAAGCCCCCATGACCTGGAGGAAGTTCAGAACCGACCGGGCGGGCAAGGCTGTGATGGCTGTCGAAGAAGTGCAAGCCCTCCGCAAGGAGTTCGACGCCAAGCAAGCAAGCAACCATCAGCAGCCTGTCCGCAAGAAGGTCTAAAAAGACCTCTACTGCGCCTTTCACGGACGCTCTTCGCACACCACGGAGCAATGCCAAAACATTCGGCAACGTGGTAGCGTGCAAGATCCAAGGCCGCAGCAGGGAGCAGCTGTCGAAGCATCTTGTGAAGCAGCTCAAAAACAAGCACCCCCGGCCGAACAGCGCCAAGATGCGCAGCGCAGAGTAATCCAAGTGATTACAAGGGCCGACCCGCTGATCCAGCTGTCGAAGCGACAAAAGAAGATGCAGCTACGAACGGTCCACAATATCACTTTGGCAGGCGAAGGGGCCCCGCAGTATCTGAACCAGCAAATCTCTTTTGGGCTAGGAGATGCCGAAGGAGTAATGTTCCCGCATCAAGATCCTCTGGTGATCTCAGCCGAGATAGCTGGTTTCGAGGTCCGGCGAATCCTGGTCGACGGAGAGAGTTCGGCCGATGTCATCTTCGCCGAAGCATATGCCAAGATGGGGTTGACCACCCAAGCCATTACCCCAGCACCAGCATTGCTCCGAGGTTTCGGCGGAGAAGCAGTTCAAGTTCTTGGCCAAGCACAGTTGATGGTAGCCTTCGGCACGGGGGAAAACAGACGCGAAGAGCAAGTATTGTTCGACGTTGTCGACATCCCGTACAACTACAACGCCATCTTCGGCCGTGCAACCTTGAACAAGTTCGAAGCCATTTCCCACCACAATTATCTCAAGCTCAAGATGCCCGGCCCGATAGGAGTGATCATGGTTAAGGGGCTTCAGTCTACGGCTGCTTCAAAAGGCGATCTGGCCATAATCAACAGAGCAGTGCACAATGTTGAGGCCGAACCACATGACCGGGCAAAGCATGCGCCAAAGCCCGCCCCTCACGGCAAGATAATCAAGATATAGATTGACGATGCCGACCCCACAAAGCTCGTATCGCTGGGGGGTGACATGGGCGAAGAAGAAGCTGAGAACATCCTAGAAGTACTCAAGAAGAACATTGATATCTTCGCCTGGGGCTCTGATGAAGTGGGAGGTGTTTCGACAGATCTCATCATGCATTACCTAGCAGTCAAGCCGGATGCCAAGCCAAGGAAACAGAAGTTACGCAAGATGTTCGCTGATCGCCAAGAGGCAGCAAAAGCCGAAATCCAAAAATTGCTCAAGGCTGGGGTCATTCAAGAGATCGGCCATCCTGAGTGGCTGGCGAATCCAGTGCTGGTGCGGAAGTCAAATGGCAAATGGCGCATGTGTGTCGATTTCACAGACTTAAACAAAGCATGTCCGAAGGACGATTTCCCTTGCCACGGATCGACCAGCTCGTGGATTCGACAGCTGGCTGTGAACTCATGAGCTTCCTAGATGCATATTCTGGCTATCACCAGATCCACATGAACTCGGCCGACATCCCCAAGACAACCTTCAT